TATGAGAAAAGAAAAAAAATGGAAACAAAGTCTATGTAAATAGGTAGGGTGGAGCGGGTGAAGGGCACACAGGTAATGGGGGAAAAAATAAGAACCAAGATACATCATGTACAGGTACAAGCACCCAATGATAAATGTAAATGTATTGTAAACCTAAAATGTATCAATAAAAGAATAAAAAAAATTGAATCATACTTTTCTGTAAGGAATGACAAGCTAATTATACAATTTATATAAAAATACAATGGGCTTAGAATGTCTACAACAATTTTTTTTTTGGTACTGGGGATTGAACTTGGGTCCTTGTGCTTGCGGGGCAGGCGGTGGAACCACTGAGCTAAATCCCCAGCCTTAAGTGAAATGTTTTTTTAAAAAATTTTGGTACCAGGGATCAAACTTAGGACCTTGTGCTTGTGAAGCAGGCAGTGGGACTACAACAATTTTAAAAAAGCAGAACAGCATTGTAGCAGTCACCTAACTTTATGACTTACTATAAAGCTATTGTAACGAATAGTGTTGGACTGACAAAATGCCAATATAGTTCAAAGGAACAGAATATCGAGTCTAGAATCAGACCCTACTTACGTGGTCCATTTTAGTTTTAAGCAAAAGTGCCAAAGCAATGCATTTGGGAAAGAAATACTTGTTCAACAAGTGATGCTGAATCAACTGTATCTGCATAAAAGCAGAAAGAATGCTAGGATTAATTTTGCTTCTCTGTATTTTCACTCCTTCATCAGTTTTGTTTTTTTTTTTTTGTACTGGGGATTGAACTCAGGACCTTGTGCTTGTCAGGCAGGTGCTGTGCCGCTGAGCTACATCCTTGGCCACTTTATCTGTTTTTGTAATGTGTTCAGTGATGCTTCCTTTTTTATTGTGGAAATTGCTTGCTTTCTCTTTCACCTCTCCTTATTTGCTAGGCTCCCATGAGTATACACATTTGTTTGCCTTAACAAATCTCAACTGTATACTTGTTTTCTACTTTATTACATTCTACTCTTCCAATTATTTTCTTCTCTTTATATTTTTAGGTTCAATTTATAGTTCTTTTTTTGTAACTTTGGAAGATGGATGCTCAGCTTTTGTTATTTGCGTGCTTTATGTTTTCCAGTATGTGTATTTAAGACTATAAATTTTCTTGAGCATATCTCAGTGGCATCTTCAGGTTTTCATGTGCGATTCGATGATATTTGCATTTTATTTGTTCAAATTATTTTAAATGTTTATTGTGATTCCTTGTTTTGTTTTTCCTTGATTAGCCAATTTTTTCAAAGTGATCACGGATTTGTGTACTTGACCTTGTAGTTCTGTTTATTTGTGCTTTATATATTTTGAGGCTGTGTAACGAAGCACATATAAAATTAAAACTGCACTCTTTATGTGGTACTAAGAATTGAAAAGCTTTCATTATTAAAATTTGCATGGCATATATTTTTCTTCAGCACCTTTACTTGGAGATGTCTTTGGAAATTGTATTTGGGTTTAATATTTTTAACCCAGTGGGACAATCTTTGTCTCTTAAAGTGATATATTTCTTCTTTTGCGTGTAATAATGTTAGTGATACATTTGGGTTTAAATCTGCCATCTTTTCTTTTTAATCAGTCTTACCCTTTATGCTTTATTTGCAATCTCTTTTCTTTCTTATTTTATATGATTGAGAATTATTTAAAATTCCATTTTCCCCTCCTGACAGTTATATATTTAAAAAATATTTTTAGTGGTTTTTGTGTCAGGTAGAGATGACAGCCCTTGTCCCTAACTCAAGGGGCAATGTCAGTTGGTGCCTTCATGTTCTGCAGTCCTCAGTTTCTTTAAGCAAAATTATTCTTTGGTATCCTGTGTCGGTGAATTTTTGTTCATGCGGTTTTGAGGCTTTTTAGGTCTGTTTTAGTAGTTTCTACTCTCATTCACGTTCCTTGCTTTTTACATCCCTGATGACCCTGCACCAGAGTCTTGCTGACCCTTATCTGTGGGATTTTTTTGGAGGGTCTGCCTGTGGGATGTTTTCTCCAGAGACCTCTCGAGTCTGCTTCTGCTGGATGTGAGGCTTGGTTCCGGTGGGTTTCAGGGACTGTGCTGGGTGAGAGTCCCTGTTTTAGCTGACATCTCACTCCTGCTCCTGCCCTTCTACCCTCAGCATCCTGTCTCAGGCTTCCAAGTCTCGAAGTTCCCAACCAGCTGCAGGAAACATTTTCATGAGGACAGAGATTCCTTGGAAAACCTTACATTGTCTTCCTAATAAAAACTGTTTTTCCAGAGTCTGGCTGTGGACATGGCCTGGGCCTCCAAGTCTATCTCTGTGAAAGAGGTTCCTATGATTTGTTGCCTGTCTTATTACTGGGAGACAAAGCTGCCTGACCATCACTGATCCAGCATGTCTGCAACAGAAGAATAATCACGTGTTATGCTGTGGTTCACACCACACGATCACCTTTTCACTACTGTGTATGAGTTGTTAGAGATGAGTCCCGTGCGTGACCCTCAAATGCACATAAACTCGAATGTGTGAAGTGCAACATATATATTACACAACTTTATGCTTGATAGAAGCATAAGTATACATACTTGCGTGTCATACTAACTTTATGAAAAAGATACACAATATTTGTGTTTTACTCATATTTTGACTTTTTAAAATGAAGAGATTAGATACTTTGAACTGGTATTAGATGCAGTGTTTGAGTATTTTGAAGGTCTTATTTTGTCTTTTATACTTTACATTGTAGAACATGATGTTTGATGTAATTATGTGACACTAAATGTGTGTAAATATTTAGTTGTTAAGGTGTACACATAATACTTACAGGGGCATATACATGTGTAACTATCTCTCTTTGGTATTTGGCAGAAATTTTAAATATAGTTTAGAGTTCTGATTTTCTTCTAGTTGATGGTATATAATGAAATAAAATGACTGGCTACATTTAATTTTTTAAATTTAAAACTAGTTAATAAAGTTAGGGTTATGTTAGATCAGAGGTTCTCAATAGGGCTTGATTGTGTCTCCCATGGGTCACTGGTTCTGACTGGAGACACTTTTGGTTGTCACACATAAGGGGGAAGGTGCTCCTGTCTCCCGGGGTTGCTGCTCAGGGTTTCATCATGGCCACATCGGCCCCCACAACGAGTAATGGCCCAGCCCCAGATGTTGACAGTGCTGGAAATGAGACCACCTGGCATGAGCAGATAATCTTTGTAATAGACTTGATATAAAAGAAAACTTGATCCAGAATTGTGTTTGAGGACCCTTCATTTGGGCTTCATGGCTTCTGCATGAAGGTCAACTAACGTCAGTGCCATGTGATATTTGGCATTTTTGCTGTAAGCAAATCCCACTGAAAGGCATGCACTGGGGAGTCCTGCACTAGTGGGGCTGTTCCACCTCCAGCTCTGCCCAGCCCCCCACATCCCAGGTGCATTGTGGGTCCCCCGAGCATCCCTGGCTGGGACGGAGGTGGCAGCCTGAGCAGAAGGACTCCCACACTTCACTTTTTCTTCTCATCTTCTTCCTACTTTTCCCTGGATGCAATTTTCTGTATCTGTCTAGGACTGTGAAAAGTTATCTGCTGCAGTTAAATAGACCTTTCCTTCCTTTCTTTGATGGTTATAAAAACTGGATTTTCTTTTTAAACTCAAAGTGTGACGTTTAACTTTAAAAATCAATTGGAAATGTAACTTACTTGAAAGACCTTCTCTAAGGAGTGGCATTTCCTCATGTACAATGGAACAGCACTTTTATAGAGCTGCGAAAGAGATCGCCTTCCATTCAGATTTAAATTCACTGCGGACATTAACACAAATCAATGAGGAATCTCTGCCTCTGCTGCTGTACATTTTTTTCTGTGAATCTACAGTGTGCATATGTGATAGTAAATTATTTCCAGCCTGGGTATTCGAGTCTGATCTTTTATAAGAAGTGAGAATGTAGGCCTCCCTTATGTTCCCTTCTTTTAATTTGAAAGACATCTTAGAAAAAAAGTCTTGTGTATATTCTCATTCTAAGCAGAGTTTCACTCTCCATCCTTTCTTCCAGGCCCTGGCACATCTCCACTTAATAGAATATGTCGGGGAGCAGACTGCTTTGCTAATAAAGGTACAGTCGATGCTATAATAGAATGTCCCAGCCACTATTCTTTGATTTTTGTAAAAAAAAAACAACCCAGTAAGAATAGGTCATGCTAATTATGCAAAAGCACAGCAGGGAACCTATCTTATCCTGGTTACTCTAGAGATGAAGGCAGATTTTTTCCGAAGAATATATAATCACAGGTGCCTGCTGCCTTCCCGATCGGCCTTAGTGATGAAGGCCATGGGTGTTAGGTGGCCGGGGCAGAGGTCCCAGCGCCAGCCCTGGATATGTGGGGCCACTGGGTCAGGACCAGCGGGTGTGGTCCGGGTTTGATGAGGAGTCCACAGTGCTCTGCTCTCCCCTTGGGCTGGCAGTTCTCTGCTCAGTTGCTTGTGGAAACCCCACAGAGGCTCGTGATGTAGGTGTGTCCCAGTTTGTACACACGTGAGCACCTTGGTCTTGCCACGTGTAACCCTCCTTTGGTCCCTGCTGCATCTCGCCTGTCACAGTAGTGTACCTGCAGGGTGTGCAACTTGACAAGAGCCATTGGCGTCTAACCGCTGTTGTCCCTCCTGCAGATGGTCCCGGAGGACCGGCGCCTGGCTGCTGCCATGGTCCTGGTGATGTGGGTCTCGGCCTTGGCGTCTTCCCTGATCGACAACATCCCATTCACTGCCACGATGGTGAGTCAAGCTCCAGCTGGTGGGTGCAGTCTGGGCTTGTCCTTCCTTCTGGGGGAGCAGAGCATGCAACATGCCCACATACCACACTCACAGGACTGGAGCACTACATGGGCACAACCTAGGGGAGAGGGGCAGGGGCAGGAGCAGGTGGCAGGGACCCATGTGGCAGCCAGCAGCCCGGGGCCCCTCCTTGGGGACTGGTGGCCTTGGGTCAGCCCCACTGAGGACTTCTCCCTCCCAGAAAGGACTTTTTCTCTTTTACATGAGGAACCCACACTATAAAGAATGTAGAGCAACATAAAAGAAAAAGAAAAGCTAACCGAAAATAGGGAGACAGATCCTCTGCAAAGGGGAAGAGGTCCCAGAGACAGAGGGAAGGCATAAGACATGCTCTGTGCATCCACCCCCACGACGAGCGTGATGATTATGCACTGCGTGCCCACATGCACTAATACAGTAAGTATAAAAAACAAAATTGATTCTCACCTTGAAAAGGACTGAAATATTTCAGACATCAAAAGACAGAAATTTTCATCTTTATTTCCTATGGGTGCGGAAGCTGTTCTACCCAGTCTCGGTGGCTTCTGCAGCTGGGCCTGGTTAAGTCAAACATTTCCGTGTGCTCCTGAGCCCCAGCCACACTGGAAGTGCACCGTAAGCTTCCTATGGAGCCAATGAGTCCTGTTCCTGGGATCTCATCTCGGGGCAGGAGCTAACAGAACTCCAGGGTGGCAAAGTAAAGGAGGGAGCAGGGTTTACACACAAGAACTGGGGTCTGGTCATGGGTCCCTTGGGCCCAGGGCACTGGTACAGGGTGGAGAGTGTGGTGCATGCTCCTGCAGAGCACTGGCTGAGGTAGGCAGCTCCCAGGATGCCCGTCACCCTGTGTCATGTGGGGGACAGTGGGACCCCGAGGTGAGAAGAGCAGACCTGGCAGTGAGGAGAGGGTGGGCCAGGCCCACAGCAGCATCTCCATGCAGGACCTGGACACCTGTGTTGCCCTCAGCTCGGACTCAGTGTCTGCTCAGTTTCACCATCGAGCGACCTGGCTGTTCTACTTCCAGTCTGGGTTTGGGAAGCCTGAGCTAACTTTGTGGCTGTTTTGCATTTTCATGAAGTCCTGAGGTAGGGACATCACATGCCCAGTGTCAGGGGAAAAGCACAGAACAGAACAATGTTTAGAGGTCGTTACCTTTTGTGTAAGAGCCAGGGATATGAATATAAAAATGTATTTTTGAAATAAACTATTAAAGGGCAAAATAAAAGCAACTATTTTTTTTTTACAATGCTTACCTAAACCTTCAGATAAAAGGCAGAGATTGGCAAATTTAATTTAAAAAGTATCAATTGTATATTCTTTACAAGAAATACACTTTAACTATAAGAACAAGTTGGAAGAAAAAGGATGGGAAAAGAGCACACAGCACTAAGCATAAGAAAGTTGATGTGGCTATAAAAATAATAAGCAAAGTAAACTTCAAGAGTTAGAGTATTCAGGAAAGGGATGTTACTCCAAAGAAGGGCAGATTCCCCAGCAAGATGTGCCCTGAGCTGAGCTCCACGACAGCTCTTGGCACACCTCACGGAAGCCCGGGCGGTTTTCAGCACAGCTCCCGGCAGCTGCTGGAGGTGTCTCCTTCGTGGCTCTCAGGTGTTGGTGGCCCTGAGACTCCCATACCATGGAGAACAGCAAAAGTGCTCCTTGGCTCCACTGCTGAGCGCTGTCCCGAGCATCCAGGCAGCATGGTCACTGCACAAACCTTGCTTTGAACCTGTATCTTACATTAACCACTGGTGAGACAATCAATAATCTTGGTGCCACTCTTATGCACACACCCTGTGTCACCAATAATGGGGTCCTCCGGGTCAGTCGGTGAGCAGTCAGCCCCAAAGTCCTCTTAGAGGGCCTGCTTTCTAGAAAGCTGTCTTAGTCCAAGCTTCCCGGGCAGACCGGTCTGAGGCAATCCCAGGATGGGAGTATGGGACGCAAGAGGGGTGGAGGAGGAGCCAGAGCCGCCCAGAGCCGAGTTGGCATCTGGCCTGACAGTGGTGCACGGCAGGCGACCATTTGGTCCTCAGCTCAGTCTGGCCAGGAGGGGAGAAGAGGAAAGGACCAACAGGCCTCTGTCTCCAGGGCCCTCGGGCTGCACTCACGGAGACCCCCACCGGGGCCACAGTGTGTCTGTCCCATCTGAGCATCAGCAAAGAGGCCCGAAGAAAGAATCACAGGGAGTGAAGGAAAGGTAATGTGTGAGAGGGAGCGAGCAGAACCGGGAGAAGATGCCCCCAGCGGCCGCCGCTAGAGCAGGCAGAACGCGTGCAGCAGACTCCAGAAGGGTGCATGCCAGAGGTCCCAGGCGGAGTGGTCCTAAAGCTCGCGGTGCAGTTGGGTGCAGAATACAGAACATTTTTCTCCTGCAGTGAGGAAAAAGACAAGATTGCCTATAGAAACCATTTCTACCAGCCATGTCCCAGAGGCGGGAGGCTGTGCTGCGAAGCCAGAGAAGGAGTAAGAACTTTGAGGACTGGGAAAGAAAGATGAAAACGTTTACTATTTACAGAGAACGTGAATCTGTATTCTTAGAAAATTCAAAAGAATAGATTTACTAGCTGTTATAATTAATAAATTTATCAGGGACCTTAGATTTAAAAGTCAGTTCAAAAATCAGTTGTATTTCTATATAGGCGCGACAAACTAATAGAAATGAAGTTTTGAAGTAAACACAAATAACAGCAGTATCTAAAAAACCATCCCAGTCCCCATTTCAGTGTAGCATGGATCACGTAGCGGTCCCCTGACTGTGGGGAGCCCCTCACAGCAGCCCTGGGCTCCCGAGACAGGGCCCACGCACGCCCTTCCCCGGGTCTCAGATGACAGTGTGCCTGGGCCTGGTGAGGCGCACTGCAGAGGCGCAGAGCAGGCCCGTGCCCGCCCTTGTCCTTCGTCTACTCCATCCCCCGGCCCCTCGCTCCGCTGCTCAGCAGTCCACTCTCAGGCTGCCCCAGCTCCCCCGACCATGTCCTTCCAGGACTGACTTCCTGTTGGAAGTGGGGGTTGCTCCATTTAAAAAAATAAGACATTTTTTACATTTGCATTCCCAAATTTTAACAGCTATTTGACGCTTAACTTTGAAAAATAAATCAAGGAATCAGAGGATACCCCAGCAAATGGGGCAGCCCTCCCTTGTCTGCAGGGGACATGTTCCAAACCATCATCAGAGGCCTGAGTCAAGGTAGTTCTGAGCCTATCTGTATACACGTATGCAACTGTGATAAAATCTAATTTATACATTAGCACCATAAGAGCTTAACAATCATAACTAATAATAAGATAGAACATTTTTTTATATTGCTTTATTTCTTAAAAATAAAACAAATAGCTTGAATACAGAGAGAATAAAATACTCAAATTTCCCCATGTGTATTGTACATGAGCAGAGCGCTGAACACATCTGTACATACAAGCATGCCATTATATAGTTAGGTCTCTAGGTCTACTCACTGCTTTTCTAGCAATCTTTCAGATACAGCAGATTGTTTTACAAAATGATCTAGTTCTTCTTGCACTTCATTGCATTTTTGCATTTTTTTTTTTTGTATTAGGCTTCAAAGGTTCATTATATATGTAATTGTCCCACGACTGGTTTCTTTATGTTGTGGAGGGTCTCCTCTGTTCAGAACCTCTGGCTGCTTTATCTTTTTCCAACTCTTTATTTTCAGTCTTTAAATGTTTTTAAAGAAATAGTTTTAGCTGCATGCTTTAAAGCAACATGTAAGTGGATTTTTAAAGCTTCCAGCAGATAATCTTAGCAGGCGATGATTTTATTCCTATTCTCTTAGTGGGATCATTGTGTTTGTGTAATGTGTAATGCAGTGCCAGTGTTGTCTGTAAGGAAGCACAGTGTGGTGAGGGCAGAGCAGGTCAGCACCACCAGGAGATGAGCAGTGAAGAAACAGTGATGACTTACACCAACCGAGGAGCGCTTGGGTGTCTCCCACAGCAGTCTCTCCAGCTGGGAAGGCCAGGGATCCCACTGGGGAGTGTGCGGAGTCATGCTGGAAAGATTGCCATCACGTCTTGAGGCCGGCCTGTCACTGAGCATGCTCAGTCTGCGCTCATGCTCTTCCCTATGTCAGGTCCTCAGACGCGGCGGAGCCTGCAGCATAGCATGAGATTATTATGAGAAGCATCTCTCCAGGGCCCTTAGAAAAGCAAGTCAGAGCAACACTGCGATTTTGGCTGTGTTCTCTGGAGGGCCATATCTAAAGCACAGAAACAAATAGAGGTGAGGTCACAGTCATTTTAAGGGACAGCAGCTTCCATCCTCTCAAGCACAGGTACCTGCCTGGAAAAGTTCCTGCCTGACGGCTAACAAATCAACAGAACCCTTTAGTTAGTGTAAGGGGCCAAGGGTTTATCCAGGCCAGGACGCACTTTGTGGGGGTTTGAGAATTCCTCCAGGGTACGATGAGAGTGGGCTGAGCCCCCTTCCTCTGCCTCTTCTGTGCCCTGGGCTGCCCGCCAGTGCGGGGCTTTGTCACCTGCCCAGTACTCCTTGTCATGCCTTTCCTGCACTTTTCTATAGGGGGTCTCGATGTGGTGTCTGACAGGAAGAGCCCAAGTTCCCTGCTACAAAGGAGGTGGGGAAGGCCTTTCTAGCTTTTGTCTCAGTGCGCCGGAAATTATGAAACAGTTTGCCAACGCAAGAGAGACTTTGCACCCTCCTCCTACGCCCTTAAATGCCTTCTCCCCAAGGCAGAGTTTCGCTTGTCCTCTGGGGTCTTGCAGTCCTCTGCTCACACTTCCAAGTCACTCACCAAGCTCATGGCTGAGAGATTTCTGCAGTGTTATGGGAACTCCATCCATTCACATTTGTGTCTTCATTCACTAGCACCATTCTTACCACAAAGAAGCTATTCAGCAAGTATTCATGAATGGATAGAAAGTAACTACAGAGGTTGATTTCCTAAAGTAACTCTTTTCCACATTCCCAGCCTGTCATTCTCCAAACACACTGACACGGGCAGCTGGACACCTCAGGACTTCACTGTGTCCCTCAGGGTCACAGACACCTTCTCTGCTGTCCCTCCTGCCAGGCCTCTCCGCTCCACGACGCCTTCATCTTTAGTGCACGCGGAGCCACTCTCTTGTGCCTTTGCTCGCACTGTTCTTGGCTGTCTCCCTGCGCCCTGGGCCTGTCTCACAAGTACAGCCTGTTCTCATCCCCCTCTTTGGCAGCCGCTGGGATGGGTTGGCGCTGTTGCTGGGAGGTCCCCAGGAGCAGCTGGACGCCGATATCCGTCTGTGTCTCTGGGGACCGCCGGGTGCACTGGCTCATAGTGGCTGCTTGCACAGGCATGGGAGTAGCATGGACACCTTGGGACTGTTGGTGCTGGAGGTGTGCCAGCATCTGCAGGTGCTCTCCTCCCTCGGACCTGCGTCGACCACCGGAGTCTGTGTCCCTGGGATCCAGCTGCGCAGCGTCTTCCCTTCCTTGGAGGAAGTCCTCCTCACCCCTGTCAGGAGAGGCGACTCCTCACAGTGAACCCAGTGTTCAGTGGCGTCACCCACAGATGCAGCGGTGGGTGGTGATTTAGGGCTCCTGTCCACGTGGGGAGCAGGCGAGCCTGGCCCACGCGTGTGTGTCCTCTGCTGGAATAGAAAGAGGTGCACGCTTCACCCTTGCTGCCTGAAGCCTTGGCGGGCTGCCCTGGCTCACATGGACCCACAAAGTCTGGTAGTTGAGGTTTGGTTCTAGGATCTGTGGTTTCGTGGAAGGTCTCTGGGCCAGCTCCACCCAAGCGTCCCTGGTTCTCTCTGTACATACTTGGGAAGCCTGCTCAGCTTCAGTGGGGATGGACAAGGACACCTAGAACATTTTGTGGGAACAGAGTGGCTTTCAGACAGCACGGTGACCCAGCTTCTGACTGTCACTGTTGCCTGTGTCTAGCCTCACCACAGCTTTGACAACACAGCTCTGACTGCAGTTGTTTGCCAGGTCCAAGGATGCTTGTCCACAGAGGTTTTATCATGAAGAGAGCCGGAAGGTGCAGTGGCTATTTCCAGCGACCAGTAAGGCTGTTGGACACGCTGTCTGGGAAGAGCTGATGGGAGACAGGCGCTGCCCTTGAGAAGGGGGTGCAGCACCTGCTTGGAAGGGGTGTTCATTAGACAGACCTGCAGGTGCTGTTCCTTCACTCCAGGGCGGTGAGTTTAAAGACAAAATGAGGCCTGTGCCTTCTAGGTGGAAATGCACTGCCCAAGAGTGTCGCTAGTTTGGGGTGGCTTCTCTTGCACTCGTGTTGTCAGCTGTGTGCTCCCAGCAGCAGTCAGAAGTACAGTTCATGTTTGTTTGTGGTATTCCCTTTTTCCAGTGGCCAAGGAAGAATGCTAAATAATTCAGGGCATTCCAGAGCCTTCATTCATTACTGGTAGACTCACACCATGGAGCGTTTACCTGGCTACCATGTCCAGAGTGGAAAGAACGCGATCGTAGATGAATTTGTCTCCTCTAGTTGGCTGGACAGAGCATTGGTGAACCTTCCAACCAGAGCAAATCCAGGTCACAGGAGGGACCCCAGGGCTCTCGGGAAATTAGATTTGCTGTTTTAGGTTTTCTGGGCTTCTCTGCCTTGGGCCCATCCCTTCATGTGGACCTTGGTTATCTTTAACAATGACACATTAAATAATACTTAACACGACTGCGTCAGTTTAATGTGCATGCTTTGTTCGTATTTAGCCCAATGAGAGCAGACAGGGAGGCTGCAGCAGGCAGTTTTCTGCCCCTCCGGTCCTCTCTGTGTGCTGGTGTGTGACTCCTGCACTTGGTAGGGATAATGGGAAGCCAAGGGGCTGAGACAGTGGGAGGCACTGGAGTCTTGGGGCAGTGGCTCTCCGTTAACTGGTGTGCACGCATTCAGAATTTTAGTACAGCCTTCCATCGCCTCTGTGCACCCCTCCTCCTCCTTCTCCTGTCTGCAGTTGACCGGGAGCCGTGGGAATCCCAGCCCAGACCTGCATCTGTGGCAGCGCATCTCAGCCTCTGCTCCTCACCTGAAGCCCGCCCTGGGAACCCTGGGTACATTGTTAACTACAGAGGATTTTCTGGCAGTCTTTCTTCATTGACTTTCGACCTTTTTAAACCTCCTTTGCTTAAATGGAAGGGGTTCTTAGGCAATTTTCAAGTTAAAATGTTATTATTCTTGGTTGTTGAATTCAAAGAATGGCGATTTATGCACATAATTGTGTGGGTTTTCTCTGACTGACTTCGGGGAGACTCACCGTTATCTGAAGTGTCCTTCAGCCTCTGTGTGGAAGTCATTTTTTCAGGCTGTCCCAAGCCTTCTCTCCCAGGTTTCTTTGCAGGCCTCAAAAGGAAATACTAGGAAAGACGTTGCTGGTGGCTGTGACACCTGACATGGAAAAACCCCTCAGCATTTAATTTTCGCTTATGCATTTTGCTTGATGTTGTTTTTGGCTCCTTCTATCCTAAAACATTCAGGTACAGACTGACATGGAAGGCTGAGCCAGGTCCCGGGGGCTGGATTTAGGGTGGAAGCATAAGCGATTGCAGAAACGTACAGCTCAGGCTCTGCCGAGTCCCTGAGGCTCCAGTCTACTGTGCTGCGGTGGGGGAGACCCGCCAGAGACAGAGACAGCGGGCAGCATGGGGCTGCTTCCCCGTCAGCTCGGCGCCGGCGCTGATGCGGAGCAGTGTATGTGCCCTGGGGAGGTCACAGTGGTGCCCTCAGTCTTTCGCTTCCACGACCCTTGGACTAGCTGCCACGTGGTTGGCTCCTGGCTCCATGGCTCCCCAAAACACAAGTGGCACATTTCGAGGACCAACAGTCTGAGGGAAGAGTGACCATGGTGTGTCCCAAAGACACAGGACAGCAAAGCGTCCCTTAAAAGACACTCAGGGAGATTTAGGAACAGCACATTCTTGGACACAAATTTCTTAGAGGCCTTTCACGGCGCTGCGTGCTCTGTTCGTTAGGGTCACGTGGAATTACCTGTCAGAGAGGTGTGACTGCAGCCGCCATGACTGACTGCTGAAGGGGCGCTTGGGATGTGGTGAACGGGGTATACAGCTCTTGGGAGCTTCGGCGAGCTTTGACAGTGTCCTCTTTGTCCACAGATTCCTGTGCTCCTGAGCCTGAGCCAAGACCCTGGGGTCAGCCTGCCTGCCTTGCCACTCATGTATGCGCTGGCCCTGGGCGCCTGCCTGGGAGGTAAGGGCCATGCACTGTGGGGAGGAGCGGGCACTGCTAGTGAGCAGCAGATTGAAAGAAAATGGAGGAGGGCCTGATGGGTCTTGTGGGGAGCACATCCTCAGCCGTGGACAGTGCCACAGCTGCCCAGTTCCCGTGGGGACGGTCACTTCTCACCCTGCGAGCCCCCACTGACATGTCAAGCTTGTGGCCTGAGGACAAGGCGGATGTGCCCACCCGGAACTCATGTGAACTGCACGTAAGAGCCAGAAGGTCCTCAGCTGCAGCCCCCATGCTAGGGCCGCAGTGAGGGACAGGGTGAGCCTTAAGAGACAGAAGAAAGGGGGAGACGGGTTCAGTGGCTCTGGGGAGCTGCACTTTGGAGAAATTGCAAGATGGATTAGAAGTGTCAGGGAAAACGACCTCTGGTGAGCGAGCTCCAGGCTCTGGCTGGGGTGCCTTGAGGGGCCCGGGGGGAGCCCTGCTCACGTGGAGGAAACCTAATCACCTTTGGGGTGCAGCAGGGTTACAGAGAATCTTAGATAAACAGACCAGATAGATTTGTTTTCTTCTTAGATCCTGGCATGCTTAGGTAATCCAGCTTTCTGTGTGCTTTGACTGATCTCTGACTACTCAATCAATAACTTTCTGGTTAGTTCATCTCCTTGTTTGTGAAGCAGGATTAGTGTCATCCAGTGAGGTTTCAGCAGACAGCTAATTCGTCACCTCAGTAATGAGGTCTGACATGCTTCAGGAGTGCAGAATGGTCGTAAATGTTGAAGGTAGTCTGAGAAAGAGCAACATGAACTTCATCCAGAGCGACTTTTAACAGTGGGATTAGAGGCAGTCCAGGGCACCTGGATAGGGCTCCTCCTATGGAATTCTGTTCATCGCAACTGGAGTGTCTGCTGCAATCACATCATGCCAGGAAATTAATCCACCACCCCTGCACTTGGATGAGGAAGATGGTCACTAAGCTCTGGGACAGAGGGCCTTGTCCTCCGATGCTGGGATGCCACAGAGAGACTGCAGGGAGAGAAGGAAAGATGCTCCAAAAAGAGGTGTCCCGGCAGGGCCTGAGGAGGCAGGAGGCCCCGGCTAATTCTGATCCGCCCCAAACATGTAAGATGATTGGAAGCGGCCTTGAGGAAAGGCACTAACCTCGACTGCCCATGGGCTGATGACCTGCAGTCAGGCACTTAACTGACGGCACCGCTGGGAGGCTGCAGACAGTGAAGGTGAAGGTTTATGTCCCAGGATCCTTTCCACCTAGTGGTGCTAGTCACGGAAAAGCACCGTTCCTGGCGTAGCAGGTGCCCATTTGTGCCGGGTGTCCCCAGTGCAGCGATTCCGTGGGGCCCTTCTTTCACTACCCCAGGGCTTAGCATTTTAAACACATTATGGCGAAACATGTGTAACAGAATTTGCCATCTTGCCCGTTTTAAGTATGCAGTTCAGTGGGATTAGATATATTCACACTGCACCTAATTTGCATGGGACGTCATTCACATTCTAGTTCGGATTGGGATTCACGGTGTTCCTCACTCACAGTGTGTGTTATCACACTGCAGCTCACTGTGCTGTCACTTTGTAATCCACACTGTCCCTCACCGTGGCCAGTTCCAGACCCCATCTTCAACCCACATGGAAGCCCCACACTTGGGAGCATTCCTTTCTCCATCTGCTGGGCCTAACGTGAAGAACACTTTAGACAGACACTAGCAATGTCATCTGCTATATGAATTGGTCTGACCCTAGTGCCTTTTGGTTGCTTTTTTTTTTTTTTTACTAAGCTAAGAACAATTCAAGTCTCTTTTAATATATTCTTTATTTATTTATTTATTTATTTTGAGATAGGATCTTGCTGAACTCACTATGTAGCCCAGGCTGGCCTCAAACTCACAGCAATCCTACTGCCTCAGCCTCCTGAGTGTGGGGAGTACAGGTGTGTGCCATCACATTTGGCAGTTTTTATTTTTTATTCCTTCTCCATTGTTGGTGGGAGTATAAACTAGTATAATCACTATGGCAATCAGTATTGAGAGCCCTCAAAAAACTAAAACAGAAACTTTTCAAGAGTTAAAGACATCATATTACAGTGACATATGCATACCCATGTGTGTAGCAGCACAATTTATAATAGCTAAATCTTGGAAGCAGTCTATATGCCCCTCAACAGATAAATGGATGAAGACAATGTGATATTTACACACAAGGGCATACTACTTTGCCATAAAGAAGGATAAACTGGAGTCATTTGTAGGAAAATGGATACGCCTTGAGATCATGTTTGGTGAAATAAATCAGATACATAAGCTTAAATATCTCATGGTTTCTCTTATATGAGAAAACCAAAATATAAATCAAGCAAGTCTTTTAAAAAAATCCCTTAGCTTCCCTAAGCTAAGAAAGCAGAGGCTGAGACAAGGTTACACGGGAAGGCCTCTTGGCAAGGTCAGCCTGGGGCAGAGGGGCTGTGGTAGAGGAGGAGATGCAGGCCAGTGAACGGGAGAGGCGCAGTGTCCTTCCAAGCCCTGGGGTCTGTAGTCGGCAGCAGTCCAGGAGCTCGTGGCAGTGTTGAAACCTCCTGCTTCCCTCAGATCATTTTCGTGTCTCGCTGGCCAGGCAGCTCCTGACCACCCCATGCGGCGTGCAAGGGCGTGAGGTGGCACTGCTCTGAGAAGGTGACCTTTTAATCCGACTTGCACTGGTGGACATAGGAAATTACATGCGGTCCTTCGTATGCAGTGTTCGTCAGAGTCGGGCAGGGAACCGTGTAGAGACTGGCTGTGCTGTCTCTGGATCCCCATGCCGCATCACCCACAAGTGCCGAGAGAGACACCCACCTGTCTGCCTGGATGCTATGGAAATCGGAGGAAATCTGAGCCGCACGGAGACACTAGGGCTCTTTTTCCCCACCGCGCGGACCCCATGCACTTGGGTACCATCAAAGCCTTGCTAGTGTCATGCTACACCACAGAAAGCCCCCGACTTCTAGTGCTTTGGCTTACATTGTTTTGACGTTACAATGGTGCAAAAGAAGTATGCATTCCACAGGATGCACATTTTGGATTGTGATTTGTGCTCTCTTCCTGGGCTAGCAACATGGGGCAAGGCGCCCCTGCCCCCTGGGGCCATGGGCTGAAGCTTCAATCAACCGCATGATCCCGAGTGGAAACAGTGAATGCCCTACAATGTACTGTGTCGCTGTGCTAGGATGATCCATAGGTTGGGTGCATTCAGTGCAGTTTACACTGAAAATATTTTCAAATTACAGCAGGTCACTGGGTCACAGCCCCAGTGTAAATCAAGGAGCACGTGTACCACAACATCCGCTGACGTTGGAAGGGGGCAGTCATCTTAACCTGTGTAGGCTCCACCAGCACGCATGAGATGCCAGGGGAGGAGGCGCCTGTCCTCGGGGAATGCAGCGCAGCTGACTCCTTCCATCTCATCCCTGCTGAAGACAGGTGGTTTGCTCAAGTTACGACATGGAAAAAGTTAGAAACTCTGAGGTCCTCTGAATCCCTCGCTAGCCTTCTTTCTATGGTACCAGCTGATTTCCTCTATTTCCAGCGCATCTGCTCAGGCCCTGCCTGCCAGGGGCTGATGTAACGCCCTCGTCACACTCCTGTCTCGTGCCTCCTTCTGTTGGGCCCATGTTGGCAGCACCCAGCTTTGCTGGCTCATTTTTCTGACATGGAGGCACAGGGTAAGGCTGTTTGGAAGCCTTCTTATGCAGATTCGTTTCTTGCCAATAAAAAGGTTTTGGTGCCAGCTGTTCTTGCATGCTGCCTCCAGAGAGAGCTGTTCCTCTGCTGTTCATGCACAGATGTCAGAAATGAGCTAAATTGGCTGGTCCTGGGTCAGATGCCCACCCTCAAACCCCGATCACTACTGGAGGGACTGGTGAAATGGGCTCGGAGAGAGAGAAGAGGCCATGCAAATCCACCCTTCCCGAACCCAGGGCTACACTCGTGTGTGAGGGAAGGGGCGGGTCTAACTTCCCCACCAGCCGTGGGCCTTGGGGTGCATTCGTGTGAGGACAGTGGGTCTCCTCACTTCAGGCTCCTGGTCACAGATGCTCACTCACAGGGACATCTTCTGTGAAGGAGATGGTCGTTGGTGAACAATGTCGAGTAGCACAACTGCTTCATCTGATTGTTTTCTTCTGTTCTTTTACTCATCGAGAGAGTGTCCTGGGTGCCTGGGCTGGGAGTCCTGAGGAAGGTCATTCCTGTCTGAGATGTCATTCCATTGCTGCAAAGGATTCATGCTCCCACCTCTAGCTCTGCTTGCATTTTCCCGTAAAATACACCTGCCACTCGATTCCGCAGTAACGTGCCCTTTCTCCTTAGTGTCTCCTCCTTTCTATCACATAGAGCAGCTGTAGTCTTATTCCTGAAGAAATGATGGTATTTACAGACAAGATTTATTTTCTGCTTGCCAATGTGTATATGTTTCCAGATATTTGCAAAGCAATCACTTTGATGGTGCCTATAAAAGTAATCATCAAATCAAAGCCCATGAGATGATCCAGATATTACAGAACAAAAGGGAGCAGGAGTCTGCCACCAAGATATGCTGGGATTTTATTTTATTTTTAAATTCTGATTGTAGGTAATGGGACACTGATTGGAGCATCTGCCAACGTTGTTTGTGCAGGGATTGCAGAGCAGCATGGATATGGATTCTCTTTCATGGAATTTTTCAGGTACTTTAAAGCCCATTTTAAATTTCCACTCACCTATCTAGTTCCCAAGCTGACTTAATTAAAAACAATACATATTGCTAAATACTGGGATGAGCATGTTTTTAGCAATTAGAGAGACATTGATGTAGATGAGGTTAGCTTAGAAAAAAACACAGTAAATATTTATTCCTGAGATTAGCTTCATCATGGTGCGGATGATTCAGACATTTTGGAAGATTTGAGTTTAGTCGGGGCCAGGAAATGGTTGTTGGCTTGTAGGGGATCTCATGCTGCTGTCCTCTTGCAAGTTCTGATTGGGGTTGAGCTGTCACTGTCTGTAAACACGGTGTGAAGCAAGGGTCTGCCGACTCTGCTGCAGAGACCGGAAGTGACACTGGATGGGCCGGGATGGCCATGCCAGGGGCGGCCAGGAGCTGGACTCTGTGCCAGGGCCTCTCCAAAGCCTGTGGAGGTGTGGCCAGAGGGGCAGGCTCAGCTTGTCCCTGTGCAGGAGAACCCGCTCAGAAGGAGTCAGGTCCACTGTGGGCCTGGTATACCTGGTGCCTGTGCTTGCAGTGCACCTGTGAGCAGGTTAGTAAGCCTCGTGGGAGTCAGTGGCCCGTGTAGGGTGCTGTCAAGATGAACACCCTCCCGGGGACGTGGAGCTGTACTGCCCTGAAAGGGCTTTGACTGTGAACTCACAGCAGGGTGTGTGAGCAGCTGTGGGTTACAGAACCGGCCTGGTGTGAAGAGCTGCAGCCTCAGGCTGAGTGGAGAGTGACTTGTGGCCTGCAGCCTGTGGTCTGGGCCTGGTTACTCACTACTCTGACGGCCTGGGCTGGGAAGAGAACCTGGCTTGTCACACCAGGAAAGGACTAAGAATGTTGTCTTAGCTCACTTTCTGTTGCTATAACAAAATACTTAAGTCTGGGTAATTCCTAAAGAATAGAGGTTTACTTGGCTCCCCGTTGTGGAGGCTCTGGAAAGTCCCAGAGCGTGGTGCTGGCATCCGCTTGGCGTGGGTGGAGGCCTCCTGCTGCATTGTAACGTGGCTGAGGGCATCAGCCGGTGAGAGGAGCAAGCAGGCCCAGAAGGGATGCTTCGTGACAGAGCCATCCCCCTGACCTGCGAACTGTGAGCGGTGGCCCATCTGTGAGGGCAGAGCCCTCGCGACCCAGATAGCATAGTGTGAATTTGGGGGGTAAGTTTCCAGCATGTGAATCTTGAGGGGCACATTCACACTTAGGAGAAAAACCTTTGGCATCTAGGGCCAGATAAAGAGCGCTTATGGTATCACATTTTTGACACCAAAAGTGTAATACATAAAATGAAAATGTGACACATTTGGCCTTATCAAGATTCAAAGATGTGTTATGTAGAAGAATCTGTTAAGTGGATGAATAAACTTTACAGACTGTGACAAGATGACAGGGCAACTTCCTCTCGTACAGCGCTGCCTTGCGCAGGTTTACACTGTTGGCCGTTTCCGTAGTTCCCCAGAGCCTCGCAGCCCTTGGCAGCTTGCTGATCTGAGTGACTGCTGGGGAGCGCTGGGTGTGGAGGGAGCTGCAGGGCTGGTGCTCAGGCCCTGGGAATCTGACTGCACACCCACCCCAGGACTCTGGCCAGGGCTCGGCAGGACTGCCCACCTCATACTGCCACCTGCTCTTCTGCCCACGGCCAGGAGCATGGCCAGGACGGGGCTCACAGGGAGCCACCCTGAGCGGGGCAGCGGGCGGTACCAGCTGGGCCGGTGAGCTGCACTGCCTCGCCTGGGCAGGGTCCGCGTTTCCTCTAACCCAGGAGGCCGTCATGCAGTGCTGCTGCTCTCCAGCTATTAGGCCAGCTTCGCGCATGATGCGTAGCCTCTCTCCTTCCAGACAGCAGAGGAACCTCATGGCCATTCTGTAGCACTGGTCGGTCCCACAGGGAGACACGAGAGGCTCGGTGTTACTATTATGAAAGAACGAGATTTTAGGACAGTGATACACGCAGTGTGGTATTCTCCCCAGTACCACTTTGGAGCATCCACTAGGACATCTGCCTGACGGGAAGGGTTGGTTTCCATGGCACCAGAGACAGGTGAAGCACCTGAAACCCAGCGCCAGCATATGGTGTGTGTGTACACTGGGCTGTTGAGTTTGCTGGGCAGTGTAGCTCGTGTGGACTTCAGGACCTCAGCGGCCGCAGAAGGCCTGGGTAGGCTGCCAGGCATCTGCTCAGGGGCTCATTAGCCGCCGAGCTCATGGGTCACTTCGGTCTCCTTGGACTGATGGTGAGGAGTCAGGCCTGCTGTCTGCCAGATTTCGATTGTTCTTCTGGCTGTCACCCTTCCTGTCAGTCGGTGCTGTGGCGAAGGCAGTTTCTCTGGGTCGGTTGTCTGGTTGTTGTACGGCCTCCATCTGTATAATGTTCTTGATGAGCAATTGCAAATGCCTGCATTTGACCCTTACACCCTATTTGAAATACTTTCTATAAAAGATGACTTCCTATGATTCACAATGCAAAACTTCCTGTTTTATTTTAAAAATTACTATTTTTCTGACTATAAATATATATTTAAATATGCAAAAGAATAAAATGTGAACATAACCTATAATTTTGCCACCCAGAAATAACCACCATTGTAATTTGGTGTGTTTTCTTACATTTTCCCTGTCTACCATATGATACATACTTCTTTTTATATCAAAGGTTTAAAATCACATTATGTCCTACCTTTTATTCTTCATAATACATTGTGAACATTTTACCAGCCCATTAATTATTCTTCCAGAATAGAATATATTTGTGCCTGTACCATGCAGATACATTCCTGTTTATTTTACCTTTGTTGAACATTGAGGTTGGTTCCTGTTCTTATTAATATCAATGGTGTGATAAACTTCTCTATAAATAAAATTTGTTTCATTTCTGATCATTGGAAATAATTTTCCTGACATCCAATTGCCATAAGTGAGTTATGTTTAAGAATCCAGATAAATCTCCACAAGCTGGCATCCAGGAGGGCTGCTGTCACTCTCCTTGTGGGAGCTCACTCCTGAAAATCACTACCGCCATTTTTTTTTTTTTGGGACAGGGTCTCCCTATGTAGCCCAGGCTGGCCTTGAACTCACAGCAATCCTCCTGCCTCAGCTTCCCAGCTGCTAGGATTACGGGCATGTGCCACCACACTTGGCTCATTATTGCCACTTTAAACACACGTGGCTCATCTGGAGAGTGAACAATAGATTCATGTTTTATTTCTATTAATTCCACTGAGATTAAACTCTTTTCAAGAAGTAGTGGATATTTACAATTATTATTTTATAAACTTTCCATTCATATCCTTTGCTTATGTCTTTTTCTCTAGAACTTTGAATTTTCCCTATGTTTTAGATGTTCTCTATGCATCTGAAGGAATCAGTTCTGAAATATATGTTGTGACTATTTAAATTTTGCAAAAGGCTTTTAGATATTCTATAGTCAAAACAGACATTTTTATCTGTATTTTTGTCTAAACATTTTCTGGTTTTATTAACATTTTTAAATGATGCCTTTCCTTTCAAGATGCTTGTAGATTCATGCACAGTTGTATGAAATAATACAGAGGTCCTGTACCCTTTACCCAGTTCCTTCCAAAAATACAATTTTGAGAAACGGTGGCACAATATCAAACCAGGACACTGAGGTGGATGTTGCCAAGCCACTGAAGAATCTGATCTCCACAAGGGCCCCTCATGTGTTTGAGGTCTTGGCCACTTCCTTCCCACCTCTACCTCCTACCACAAATCTGGTTTCTATCTCTAAAATTTTGTCATCCTAGCAGTGTTATATAAATGGAGTCATACAAGGCATGACCTTCTTGGGTTGGGTTTTTAAACTCAGTGTAATTGCCTGGTGATTCATCCAAAGTGATTCATATATCAATATTTAATTTCTTTTATTGCATTTCATGGTATGGATGTACTACAGTTTGTTTAATAATTCACTCTTTAGACAAATCTGAGTTGTTTCCCATTTAGGGCAGTTATGAATAAAGTTGCTCTGTCATCTTGTCACAGTCTGTAAAGTTTATTCATTCACTTATCAGATTCTTCTACATAACACATTTTTGAATCTTGATAAGGCCAAATGTGTCACATTTTCCCTTTATGTATTACACTTTTGGCTTCAAAACTTGATACCATAAGGATTCTTTATCTAGCCCTGGATGCCAAGGATGTTTCTCCTTTTCAGAAAAAGGTTTGTAATTTTACTCTTGAGCTTATGTTAAGTTTTAGTTTTACATTTTGAGTTAATTATTTCACGAGTTTGGAGTTTGAGTTTTCCTTGCCTGTGGATGTGGACAACTACTTCTGTCTGACCAAAGGGTTTTGCTGCTGCCCTGAATTGCTTTCATAAAGTGGGCAAAAATCGGGTAAGGAGGTCGTCTCAGGTCCGTGCATCTACGTGGCTGCCCCTTCCCAATTATGACAGCTTTCTAGAGCTATTTTGAAAGAAAAAACCAGTGTACTAGGTTAGACTTTTATCTGGATCAGGAATATTCAAATAGACAGACTAGGAATTTATTAATACTTTTGTAAAAACATTGGTAATGCTTTGCAATTGGTCTCTTAAAATTATTTCAAAGTTTTGTCTGTTTCCATGATTATTTTCTTATCTGTGGACTGTTTAATTAGCAACTTGCAATCTGCCTTGTTTTATTTTTCAAATAATAAGATTTTGATTTTGTTTGTTTGATCTAGTTTTCTATTTTCCACCTCATTAACTTCTACTTTTATCTTTATCATTGCCTTCCTTGTACTTTCCTTTGTTCTTTTACTAGTTTTTTGAAATGCAAATTTATTTCATTTGTTATTTTATTTATTTGGCTTTCCAAAATAAATGTTTAAGCCTGAATATTTTTCTCTGACCACTGCTTTAAATGCATCCTACAGAGTTATGTAGAATTTCTATATTTTCTATTGACTTTTCCCTATGTGTTTTTACTTTTGTTTGACAATTGGATGTTTAATTCAATTTCCTGGTTGAGGAATATT